AATTATTAAATGTATGGTTGGAGTGATGGCTCAGCAGTTAGGAGCATTGAATGTTCTTGTAGAGGAACTGAGTTCTGAGTACCAACACCCACATGGCAGCTCACAACCTATCTGTAACTCCAGTTTCAGGAAGTTACATGCCCTCTTCTGGCCTCCAAGCACCAGGCATATATGTGGTGCACAGACATACATGCAGACAAAAACACCCAAACACATAAAATTTAAAAAGAAAGATTTTAAGATGCAAAAGAGCTGACAGAGTCTTCCCAGAACTATGGCTAATCTGTTGAAATCTATAGCAGAAGTCAGGGGGGCAAATCCATTCTTCTCCTTTGTAAATTACACTTTATCAGAATATTTACTTCCTATGGCTCTTCTACACTAGAACCAGAGCTACAGAGTTAAGTAGCTGTGTAAGTGTAAAAGCTGCAATACTACATAAATACATGTAATGACTGTATACTAAATAGTTCCTTACAAAAAAAGGAGTTTGCCAGCCTCGGACCTGCAGAAAAGAAAGATGAAATTTTAGATACTAGTTCACTGTAAGACTAATCTGTCTTCTGACCATAAATGTTGTGAAATCTCTGGAATTCCTTTGTAACAAATCTGACATTAGCAGCTTTAGAAAAGAAACCGGGATTAAGAAAAGTGTTCATAGAAGGCAGCAATGGCCCAGCACCCTACAAGTGGTAAGGATGCACCCCTGTCTCAGGAACACAGACAACTAGTTTAATGTGTTTTGTTCCACATTTTCTAGAACAACAAAACAATCAATGGTAGATCACCTATTATACAGTAGGCTCAATGCCAGATGTTTTCATATATTTAATTTTCCAAGAAATCTGTCACATCAGTATATTTTTTTTAGTTTTATAGGAAACCAAAGCTCAGTGAGGTTAGATAGTTTTCCTAACACAGAAAGTGACAGTGCTGGGATTTTCTTCTTCTTTCTTTAGTTTTGTTTTTTTGTTTTTTTGTTTTTGAGACAGGGTTTCTCTGTGGCTTTGGAAGCTGCCCTGGAACTAGCTCTTGTAGACCAGGCTGGTCTCCAACTCACAGAGATCCGCCTGTCTCTGCCTCCCAAGTGCTGAGATTAAAGGCGTGCACACCAACGCCCGGCTTTTCTTTAGTTTTGTATTCTAACCATGTACAAATGTAAATAGCAAAACCTCAGGCTCATGAGCCTGACAACCATCCAATCCTTACCCTATCTATTATTTTATAACCAATCACCAAACAGTGTAACATTCCACTCACAAGTATTTCAGTACATTTCTCAAATGACATCGTCTTTAAAAAAAAAAAAAAAAAAAAATCAGGGCTGAAAAGATAGCTTAAGCACTAGCTGTTCTTGCATAGGACCTAGGTTCATTCCCGGCACCCACATGGTGGCTCACACCCATATATAACCTAACTTTCAGGAGATTCAATATCCTCTTCTGGCCTTGCAAACAGCCAAATGCCCCCACCCCCACAGAATTTTTTTTTTTTTTTTTCTGGAGCTGAGGACCAAACCCAGGACCTTGCGCTTGCTAGGCAAGTGCTCTAATTTCTCTTAAACTAAAATTGAAATAATGTTTACACTACCAAGAACTCAACTCAAGCCTGTCTCTAAAACTTACATGCATTCCACTTCATCATGTTATAAGTACATGGACAGACAAGAGAAACACCTTTCTTGTCATTTAATGCTCTGCATACTAACTGAGCCCTAACCTTGTGACTCACTGCTGTAGGTGATATTTGAGAAGATAGCATCAATATGCCTTAAACAATGAACAGCACAGGAAATGTGGAGAGGAAAACAGAACTCTTATGAGTATCCAGGGACATTCTGCTAAGGCAGCAGACACTGCAGAAAAATCTCAGGCTATATTTAGCAATCCTAGACTGCAGGCTGCAACTTCCTTCTGTTCTTCCACCCCCTCACTGTGTGCACTTTGCCATTCACTGCATCCCCCAAAGCCTCAGATTTCTCTCTTGACATTAGGGGAAATTCTTAGCAGTTGATTCTGAAGTCAAGACAATGGTATTCAGGATTATTATCTCCTTGATAGAATCAGACTATGGAATATCATGATGACTACAAGAAAGTAGAACTAAAAGCTTTCCCACAAACATTTATTGGGTATCATATAGATAACACCTGACTGTTTGCTGTCCCAAGTGAGTCATAATACCAAGTGAGCTCTTTCAGCTACATGGAGCAGCAGACATGCTTCACCTCCCTTTTGCCCAGCCCTCCTGACTCACTTCCATCTTTTTTTTTTTTTTCTGTTCTGTTCTTCCTGAGCTCTATCCTCAACTCACTGCCAACTGACTATCTCAACCAGTTTCATGGTTTCAGTTACTAACTTTATGTTCCTGACTTCAAAATGTTCATATATAATCTAGAACATTAAGACTCTACATCCAACTATGCACTGGACATATCTCAGTTTAGATATTGTACCAGAACCTACAACTTACTTTGTGCAAATATTTCTGAAAGACAAAAATCAGAAAATAAATGAGTGTGTATTTACTCATGCTCACCTGCAGGGCCCAGAGCTTCCTGAGCTGCTTCCAGCTCTAATCTAACTGTATATATAGGTTCACATTGGCCACTAATGACTCAACTCAGCTCAGCTGTTGGGAGGTGAAGACAGGGGGATCAGGAATTCAAGGCTATCTTCTGCTATACAGCTAATTCAAGGCCAGCCTGGGCTAAATGGGACCCTGTCTACAAAGACAAGGGAGATGACACTAAGATGACTCAGTGGGCAAAAGCACTTGCCACCAACCCTGACAATCTACTGAAGGAAAGCACCAACTCCTGCAAGCTGTTCTTTAACCTCTACACTACCAGAGCAGATGTATCCTCACATATACACATATACATACAGTACATATACAAAATAAACATTGATGTGATAAAAAATTAATAATCACACCCAGAGGAAAAAAATAACAGATTGAAATATACTTAGAAAATAATAATGCTGCCAAGATGGTCCATTAAGTAAAGGTACTTGTGGCCAAGTCCACAGAGCTGAGTTCAAACCCTCCACCCACGGTGAAGGAAGAGAACGAATTCCCATGGGTTGTCCCCACCCCCACCCCAAATACCCTGTGAACACAATAAATAAAATACTATTAAACTTCTAATAAATAGTGTCCTAAGGACTCTAAGGGGAACCATGCTATCTCTCTAGTATAATCAATCTACTTCTCTGATAGGAAGGTCTCTGCAAGAATCAGTCAACAGTATAAAAAGAACTAAAAGGAAAGCAGAAAGGGAAAGATAATTGGGGAAACATACAGAACTTCAAGACTAAGATTTGGAGAGGGTGCTATAAGAGAAGGGGGGTGGGGACAGAAAAGAAAAGCCAGGCATGGTGGTGCACAACTTTAATCCCAGCACTCAGGAAGCAGAAGCAGGCAGAACTCTTGAGTTTGAGGCCAGCCTGGCCTACAGAGCAAGTGCAAGGACAGCCAGGACTATACAGTGAGACCCTGTCTCAAACAGACAAACAAATAAGAGGGAGGGAGGGAGGAAGGGAAGGACAGACTGAGGGACGGGGAGAGACGAGAGGGAGGGAGGAAGAGAGAGAAGACAAACTACTTAGAAATCAGAATACAACTACTGAAATTAAGAGAAAGGATAGGCTACTAGAAATATACAGCTAATAGCAAAAACAGTGATCTGGGAGATAAGTCTGAGAAATGCAAAGATGTAAAAATGGGTGTAAAGAGTAAAATAATAGAAAACGAGAGGCAAGTTAAAAGCCACAGAGCTGCTGTGTCTGATAGGAAGTGACAATCAGTGTACAACAGACACTTTACTAGGGAGTCCTATGCCAGTTGAATTGAAGATTTAAATGGTACTTTCCTTTTAAAGGCTGCGGCTGAAACACAGGCTCTATCAGGGATTGCTCTTGCTTGCTTCTTGGAGCTCCTTATCTAAGAATTAATACTTCTGAGCTACAGCAGTCACCATTTAACTAGCCTTGAGTAAGTCTCAGCCCTGAAATTCTAGGACTATCAAATGAATGCCAAAATCAGTGATGTCTATTTTCATGGGTGGTTTGTAAAGAGAATGTTTAGTCTGATTTTGTATTGTACATAATCCCCAACTTATATAAATACATGATGGAAATAAGGAAATACAGGAGGTGACTATGATCAAACTATGAAAATGTCACAGTGAAAACCATTGTTTTTTTACAATTAATATACACTAATAAGAAAGGGAAGATGATGGAAGGAAAATAAAGAGTCACTTAAAATTATCATGACCCAAAGAAAGGCAAAAGAAACAGCTGACTGATTGCCAGGTAGATAGGGGGAAAATACAAAAAAATGCAGTGAAGACATCTACTGCTGATGCTTTCAAATTCCAAAGGTAAAACAACTCAGCTCCTAAAGCTCTTGGAAATGAGATGGGATAACAGCAAGAACCAGACCAGTGAGGAAGTATCAGCAACACTAACAGCTGGAAGCTATACAACAATGCCTGCAAAGTTATGTAGAAATGCCATGCTGAAAAAAAAAATCAAGAAGACAGTTTGATCATCTAAGAATCTATCCAAGCGCTGGTCACTATGGAGGCAGAAGGCAGGCAGATCTGTCTGAGTTTGAGGCCAGCCTGCTCTACATAATGAATCTGAGACCAGCCAGGGTTATACACATAATGAAACCCTGGCTCCAAAGAAAAAGCCACTTGATAAATGGAACCATTAACATGCTAAGAAAGAAATGGCATTTCTTACCCAATCTTTCTGGTTAAGTTTGGCTGCTTCATTATAAACTTCAGTGGCGGCTTTATGTTTTCCCAGAAGAAATCTGTGAAAATATATTGCCTACAATTATTCATATTTCATTATTTTTGGTTTGTTTTGAGGCAGGTTCTCATGTAACTCAGGCAAGCCTCCAATTCACTGTGTAACCAAGGATGACTTTGAACTTCTGATCCTCATGGCAGCATCTTCAAGTACAAGGATTACAGGTTTGTACTGCCATACCCAGCTAAACCTAAACTCCTTTAAGATTAACTCTACAAGTTCATATTCCACAGTCTTAAAAAATGCTGAATTTTTTTTAAAGAACTTGAGCTGGTTTTATGGGAAAGGCAAGGGACAGTGCTATGTCCCAAGAACAGAAGCTCCGGAGACAGGGTTTGCATCCTCAGTTGTTCTAAGACCTTAGTCTCATACATACCAATGTTGGTGGTACTCTTCTGTAACTACTTCCTATAACATTCTATAAAAATAAACAAAAAAAGTCAAATGACATGCCATTAAGCATGAACTGCCATCATTTATCAACCTCATCCAGTAACGGCATGTCTTTTCCTCCTGAATTCAAGTTTCTTTCCTTGATCATGAATTTGGAGGAAAAAAGAGAGAGAACTAGTTTTTATGTAAAAATGATACAAGTATGAATGGCAATGGAGGGAAGAGCATGGAGACAGCACCGCATGGACACTAGGCCACTCAGAAGAAGTTGATGAAGACTTCAGAAGTGTTTCCACTTAGAAATTTGCAGGCCATAGACTCAAAATACCATAAGCTTATTATATGTCAAATATTCTACTAAATATCAGAACAATAGGCTATGAGTTGCCCATATGATTATAGAGGCATTATGGTATAACACACTATGACAAACAGTGTTCTCATCTAACTAGAAAGATCTGAGTTCCTTAATATTATCTGACTTCCAGATTAATCCATGCTCTTTTTGAAGTCTGCTCTAGTTACTATTCACCAGCCTTCTACTTATCAGGGATCTGGATGCCAGCAACAGGCCCTCCCTAGAATGCATTTCAGGAGAAAGCCTTTTTATTCATTTATTTTTTCTCTTTCTTTCTTTTTTGTTTTCAAGACAGGGTTTCTTTGTGTAGCCATGGAACTAGTTTAGTAGACCAGGCTGGCCTTGAACTAACAGAGATACACCTGCCTCTGCCTCCCAAGTGCTAGGATTAAAAGCTTGTGATATCACCACCCAGCCTTTTTTTTTTTTCCCCCAAGACAGGGTTTTTCTGTGTAGCCCTGCTGTCCTGGAACTTGCTCTGTAGACCAGGCTGGCTTCAAATTCAAAGATCCATCTGCCTCTGTCTCCTGAGTGCTAGAATTAAAGCGTATGCTACCATTGCCTGGCTCAGGAGAAACCCGTGCCGCTCCCTGCCCCCCAAAACTATTTCTGTAGAAGAGGCTGGCCTGAAACTCACAGAGATCCACCTGTCTCTGTCTCGTTAGTGCTGGGATAAAAGGTAAGCACCACTACCACCCAGCTAGGAGTAAGGATTTTATGTGGTCTTCTGTGACTGCTCCAATACTCACAAAGATCTGGCCACCTGCTTGAGATTATCAGCACACTGAGGGCTGAGAACAGCACATGTCTGAAAGAGTTCCAGGGATTCTTGGATATTTCCTTCCAGGCGGAAAATCAGTGCTGCCAAGCAAAAGAAAATACAGAAAATAAACCATATTCTTGGAAGAAAAGGCTGGCATCAGAAAAACTGGAGGAGGAGGAGATAAGATAACACATTAGAGAAAGCCTTTGGATAACTTTTATTTTTATTTTTTTTGTTTTTGTTTTTTTGGTTTTTCGAGACAGGGTTTCTCTGTGTAGCTTTGGAGCCTATCTTGGCACTCGCTCTGGAGACCAGGCTGTCCTCGAACTCACAGAGATCCGCCTGCCTCTGCCTCCTGAGTGCTGGGATTAAAGGCATGTGCCACCACTGCCCAGCCTTTTAATCCAACCAGTCATTACCAAATGGGTAAAAGCAAGTAAAGGGTTAGTAAGATAAAATCTGTAATAAGCTAACTTCCACCTACCCACTCTGCCCCCAGCATCTATACCTAGGTAACTGGTCTTTTTGCAGATCACAGAAATTCTTCATAGGAATACTATTTTGGAAGGTTGAAGGTGATTCAATTTGTTAAGAGTATACTACTCTCCCAGTATCCACATGGTGGCTCACAACCATCTAACTCCAGTTCCAAGGGCTCCAATGCTCTCTCTACTGGCCTCCACAAGCACCAGGCATGAACATGATACACAGACATATATTCAGACAAAACACTCAAACATGTAAAACAATAATTTCAAAATATATTTTAAAAGATATTCACCTGGCCGGACCACCTGGCCGGACTTTGGTGGCGCACACCTTTAATCCCAGCACTCAGGAGGCAGAGGCAGGCGGATCTCTGTGAGTTCGAGGCCAGCCTGGTCTCCAGAGCGAGTGCCAGGATAGGCTCCAAAACTACACAGAGAAACCCTGTCTTGAAAAACAAAAACAAAAAAAAAAGATATTCACCTAATGTCATATACTGGCTTCCAGGTGTATGGGCAACACACAGAGAATTGTATTCAAATTTCAAAAGATAGTGAATAAGACTTTTGTGAGACATTATTTGAATTTAAGTATTCCCCAAGTTGTTTGTTTCTCAAGGACCTAGGCTAAATATAATTTTCCAGTAAGAAAAGAAACAATATGTCTTACCTTGGACATAGATAGCATATTCACATAACCCCTGAGTCTCCTGAAGCTGTTCTTTGATCACAGCCTAAAAAATAAGAACACCTGAATTAGTGATTAAGTGTTACCAAGAAAACAGTAGAAATAGACAAGGGGCATGTATGAGATACCGAGGACACTAATAATGACTAATTAGGTATTTCCTTCAGGATTTTTTTTTTTTATGATTACTTATTTTAGACAGAGGTTAGCACTCTAAGGGCTCTTGGGATATTTCTGTATATCCCTCATTTAGAATACTTTTAGGCTGGAAAGACAGCACAGCAGTTTAGAGCACTTGCTGCTGTTCCAAAGAACTGGGGTTGGATTTCCAGCATCACAACTATAACTCCAGCCCTTGACACCGTCTCTGCCCTCCTTGGGAACTGCTTGCATGTTGTGCACAGACATACATGTATGCAAATATCCAAACACATAAATTGTTTTTAAGTTTTCTGTTTTGTGTTATCTAAAAAAGGAGCCATGCATTGTGGTGCATGCCTACAATCCCAGCAGTCAGGAGGTGGAAACAAGATCAAGAAATCAAGGTCATCCTCTGCTACCTATTGAGTTTGAGGTTAACCTGGGCTACATGAAATCCAGTTTCAAACAAAAACAAAAAACAATAAAATGATGATGACAAATAGGAGATGATGACTACAGTAACCCTAAAGTCTATAAATCACTGTCTTGGCCAAACATGGAGGCCAACACACCTTTAATTCTAGCACTTTAAGGCTAGCCTGGTCTACTTAGCAAGTTCCAGGTTAGCCAGGGATACAAAGTGAGGCCATATCTCAAAAAATCAAATTAAGTTACTATCTGGCTCATGACAGAAAAATTTTCTCAACCCCGATTTAAAATCTAATGAATGAAGCTAGAAAAACAGGAGAAGCCTTCTAAGTACCATTACAGACACTAGGATCCTCTGATGAGCAAACCCCATGGGTTCTATATGGTGATGGGCTCAGCTCAGGTACTTTAGGAGCTAAAAAAAACAGCATCTCTGATTCTAACTCAGAGAATTAAGGAAGTCTTCCCAAAGCAAAAAGTTTCAAACTGTGTTGGCAAGGGGTGGAAGAAAAGCTAAGGCAAAGGAGAGGGTTGGAAAGAGGATGACTAAAAATGTCATACTAAAGGGTGTTAGTTTTAAGTTAGTTTTAAAACTAATTGTGATAGTTTTAAGCAGGAAAGAACTTGGTCCTATTTGCTATACAGAAACACACTGAGAAAGACAAGATTAAAGTCAAAGTTATACATAAAGTTTAAAGCAGGAATGTAGGGGTTGCAAATTCAAGATATTAACTGCCACAGTGTGCTTCAGATCCTGTTAGTGTCTGCCCAGCCAGCCTCTCATTCCCTCCACTGTTGCAGTCTCTCACCTTGCATGCTTCATAATCCTTCCGGATATAGTGGAGATGGATCAGCCAGTTCAGTCTCTCCACAATAGGAAACTCTAAAGCTAGAAATCATATTTTGGCATAACAAACAATATAACCAGTGTTAGATTTTCTCGTTTAGCATGTACTCATGTCTAAACTAACTGTAAGTAATTACAACAGCACATTAAATTCTCCATGGAATTTGGAAATTTATGTAAAGATCTTGTTTTCTGAATTATATTTGTTTATTTTGTGGCTCTCTACGTGTGGGTACACATAACATGCAGAAGTCAGAGGACAATATTGGACAAAGTGGTTCTCTCCTTCCACCATGTGGGTCCTAGAAATTGAATTTGGATCATCAGGTTGGCAGCAGGTCCTTTAATCCACTAAGCCATCTTGCTGACCCTTGGAATAATTCTTGGTTGATATACAGTCCTCTTCTAGGCCTGTGGCCAACTGACCCATGGGTCTGACTCTAAGGAAAGGGTAAAATACATACTGGATTGACAATCACAACATATCCTAGCTCAATCATTTGGTTATTAAATGAGGTAATGGCAGGATGATTCTCATATCTAGAAATGGTATAAAAATACTAGTAATTATGTCAGATACTTGCATGATTACAACTGAATTTCATAAATCTCAGCTACTCAGAAGGCTGACAAACAAGTATTTTAAGTTCTAGACTAGCTTGAGCTATGCAGTGAGTTTGTGCCAGTCTTTTGCTTGTTTGTTTTTCTGAGACAGAGGTTTTTCTCCCCCACTACCCTGTTTTTGAGACAGCATTTCTCTGTGTAGCACTAGCCATTTTAGAACTAGCTATGTAGACCAGGATGGTCTTGAACTCACAGAGATCTGCCTGCCTCTGCCTCCAGAGTGATGGGATTAAAGGTGGGTGCCACCACCACCTGGCTCAGGCCAGTCTTAAACAAAGATAAATAGGGTATGGATTCTTCCCTCAGGAAATAGACATAGCAGAGCCCTGTCTCAAAAAAAAAAAGTTTTAAAGTAAAATTAAATGTCATACTTACTTAGCATACATAAAATTAGTGGAGGTCTGATTTGTACAAGAATTGAATGCGTATTACACAAATAAAAATTAGTGTACATTGATATATTAACCAAACAACATTTAAGTGCATTACAGGTCAATAATAAATCTAATGGGATAAAATAAAAAGCTAGATATTGTGTTAAGAGTTGAACCATTACTGCTTTTCCTAACACTTTACAAAGCTCTAGTGTATATAACAATCAAAGAAACTACAGACCTTTTTTTGGTCTGGGTTTTTGAGATTCAGGAACCTGAGTTTTCTGAAATGAAAGAAGTTATCTGTGTTAAAGCAGCCCCATGTATTGCTAATTGAAAGCACATTCATAACAAGAATGATCAGTAACTCACCAGAAATGTACTCAATCCATTAAATGAAGAGATGTATAAAGGGGCATTCTGATTATGCCTTAAACTACCACATTAGTCTTTGGCTATCCAACTTGCTCATAATGTATAATGCATATTATATGTGCATTTATAATGTGTCTTTTTGTTTTGTTTTGTTTTTTGAGACAGGGTTTCTCTGTAGGTTTGGAGCCTATCCTGGCACTCACTCTGGAGATCAGGCTGGCCTCGAACTCACAGAGATCCACCTGTCTCTGCCTCCCGAGTGCTAGGATTAAAGGTGTGTGCCACCACTGCCCAGCTGTACCAAAATTATAATGTACAACATATACTCATATTAATATACTAAATTGTTGTTAGATAACTCATAAAGTATATTTGGTGCTCTACTCGTCTACTCGTCAGCAGCCAAACCAGAAAATGTTTGAATTTTTTTTACAGGGTGTGTGTGTGTGTGTGTGTGTGTGTGTGTGTGTGTGTGTGTACACATGTGCATGTGCAGAGGGGACATCCTTCAATTCCCTTCACCCATATAGGTTCCAAGGACCTAACTCTTGTCAGGCTTGGTAGCAAGCCCTTTTATCCACTAAGTCATCTCACCAGCCCATGATCTCTGTTTGACAGAAAGAAGGTAGACAGTTCAGTCAGTAAAGTACCTTTAGCACAAGCATGAAGACCCAAGTTCCAATGGTCAGTACCCAAGTAAAAGCTGGTGCAGGAGCATGTGTGTACTGGGAAAAAAGAATCAAGCAGACCCCTGGAGCTCACTGGCCAACCAGCCTAGCCAAATCAAAAACTCCAGGTGCAGTGAGAGGTTTAAAAATAAGGTGGAGAGCAAGAGAGGAAGACACTGGACATGAAGATAATGTACTACACTGTTAACTTATTAGAAAAATCTTTAAATGGATTTTTTTATCACTTCCCTAATTTTATACATTATACACATGATATGGGCCAGTTGTGGTGGTATACACCTTTAATCTTCAGGAAGGCAGAGCCAGTAGGATCTCAGAATTAGAGACTAGCAATCTATCTAGGACAGCCAGTGCCATATAGTGAGACCCTGTCTCAAAACAAAAACAAGAACAGCAAAAAGATTTGGATGCCTTAATATAAGGGGGAGGGGAATATTGGCTGTAATTTTTTCAGAATAAAAAGACACTTTAAAATATTTGTTTATTCTGCTGGGCATCGGTGACACATGCCTTTAATCCCAGCACTCGGGAAGCAGAGGCAGGTGGATCTCTTAGAGGCTAGCCTGGTCTACAGAGGGAGTTCCAGGACAGCCTCCAAAAGAATACAGAGAAAAGACACCCTGTCTCAAAAAAAAAACCAAAAATAAATAAATAATTGTTTATTTTATATATATGAATGTTTGCCTGTATGTATGTGTACTGTGTGTGTGTGTGTATGTGTTACCCACAAAGGTCAGAAGAGGCACTAGATCCCCTGGAAATAGTTACAGATGGTTGTGAGTCACCATGTGGGTGCTGAGAATGTAATCTGGGTCCTATGCAAGAACAACAGCAAAAGATCTTAACCACTGAGCCATCTCTCCAGTCCCAAAACAAAAAAATTTTAAAAGGTATAGCGTAGGCTGGCCTAAAACTCATGATCCTCCTACCTCTGCCTCTTCAACATATACTACCAGTTGTATTTCCATAACTGGCAAAAGAAATTCCACACTCTGATATATCATGAAAAAAGGTACCAAGCCAAGCATGGCAATGCAGGCCTATAATCCCATCACTTGGAAGGTTGAGAAAGCCAGTTAGCCAGTTTGAGGCTAACCACAGATACATAAGCAAACCCTGTTTTTTTTTTAAAAAAAAATAGAACTGGAGATGATGTCTCAGCCGTTTAAGAGCACTGACTATTTTTACAGAGGACCCAGGTTCAATTCCCAGCATTCATGGGGTGACTATGTGGGCATCAGGCACACAGGAGGTGCACCCACACATATTCAGATAAAACCCCCATACATGTAATCTTTTGTAAAAAACTAAAAATGGAATAATAATAGCAACAAAAAAGAAGTACAGCAAGGGTAATAAAAACTGTATACTAAGTAATTCCCACTGAAATTCAGCCCTAACTCAACAAACTCTAAAGGGCACATAGAAGACTCAGAATTTCAGTTTATAGACTCTTAAACTTTTAAAGAAATTACATTAGGAAATAAGAGAACAATCATAGAATGAATGAAATAAGCAAATATATTGGTAAAAGCATGTGAGTATTCTCAGCACCTTGCTACACAAAGGAAAATTGTAGCTTGTGGGTATGTACAAGGCAGAAGTACAAAACTAAAAACACTGGAATAAATGGGCAGGTAACAATGGGCTGTAAAGTTTCTGATGATTCCTGTAGCATGCAGAAATTAAGACTGCATTCTAAAATGTCTTCAATACTCACAAAATGAAATTGCTACGTGGCTGTTCTCTCTTGGAGGAAGGAGGGAATCTTACTAGACTCAAGGAGTTCAAGAAACTTACTGTTCTTATGAAGCTCAAGATTCACACACACAAGGTCATGAAAGTAGTAAATAATTGCTGGGGAGACTTACTGAAGCTATGCAGGAATGCAGGTTTGGGGAGTCATCACCAATTCTAAGGTGGGCTTTCCTGTGACATAAATGCCTTTAGGTCACCTATGTTCCCAAAAGTAACCCTACACAAACTCACTGGTTCACCAACTAGTCAAGGAGAATCATTTCTTTGGTTTGTTATTAGCGCCTATTTAGTGAGGAAATGTTTGTTCATATAGCCCCAAGAAAAGTTTCACAACATAACTGGTACCCAAACAGGAACTAATAGAACCAAAGAGGCGTGGGGAAGAGTGGTTGCATGGTCCCTGTGATGATGGGTGAGAAGACATGTTAACTGAGGCTGATTTGTCTGAGGGTGGAGCAAGGCTAATCCTGACATGGCTATCTTTCCTAGATAGAATGGCATATTATGCCTCCTTCCTATAGTGGCAGTTACATGCATCCTGCAATGGGTGATCAAGACCACACCATCTAAGACTGAAGTGTCCTTACAAAGTATGGTATAGTATATAATATGGGGTGGCAAAATTCCTTAATAAAGGGTGACCACCATATACATATGAGGATGCTTCCAACCCACTAATGTACTAAAGAATACACTACAGTCTCTGAAATAGTGCATATGTTTAAGGGACAAGACCTTAAACAGACTGTAGTAGCTATTGTGTAGACTTTACTGTGGGCAAGAAGACATATAACGGAGGCTCAGCTGTCTGCCCCAAAGAACTTGCCTACATTCAAAAAAAGACATAGGTACTGTCCTCTACATCAGCCTCTGATCTGGCAGGAAAGAGGAGGGTATGATGGAGATGCTACCTTGCCATGTCTTACAGCTGACAGGATATAAGGGAAGGAATACAAGTCAGATCTGAAGCACTCTGTTTAGGACCCAAGAACTTGGAACCCATGGGTAGAACTGGAGTGTAGAAGAACACAGAAGTGAGAAGATGCCCCTCAAGTCTGACCTTCAAGACAAAGGAAGGGGAAAGCCCATAATTCAGAGTGCAGAGGCCTCAATAATGGCCCTGAATAGTAAACTGTGATACTGAGGAAATATTCTGCACCAGAACTCTTAGACTGGGGGAAGACTTTTAAACAGGGAATCAAAGAGTTTCTCATAGTCTAAGACTATAGACATGGAGGTGGATGTGATTAGTCCAAATGCCATGCAAGCAGAAAAACAGTAATATAACTATCCATCCTTCCTTGAGCCACAGGCTGCATAACCTAAGGCAATACAAGGAAAATAAAGTCTCTGATTGACTGGCTCACAGGAGTCATTAGGGACATTTGGTTATTACAGGCTAAGGCCCCTGGAAGACAATAGAGGGACAGACATTACTGAGGGATTAGGCATGAGAAAGGCAGGATTTTATGCCCAGTCTACTGGGCCTGAAAGGACTGTAAGATGGCTCAAAAAGTCTAACAACTTGAGTCCAACCCCCAGGATCCACACAGTAGGAGGTGCTCTGCCCTCCACATGTGTGTTACTGCAACATGCACACACGCACGCGCACGCACACACACATGTAAATAAATACAAAAAGTTTTAAAGAAAGAAGGACCAGTGAGATGGCTCAGAAGGTGAAAGCTTTGGCCTCACAAGCCTGACAACCTGAGTTCAATCACTGCAAGCCACAGTGGAAACAGAAAACTGGATCCCAAAAGCATGCTGTAGCACATGGGTACCTACACTCACACACACACACACACACACACACACACACACACACACTCTCTCTCTCTCTCTCTCTCTCTCTCTCTCTCTCTCTCTCTCTCTGATGGCTAATATTGGGTGTCAAATTGATTACATCTGGAATTGACCAAACTTAAGCAGCTGGACACACCTATGAGGGATTTTTTCTGGGCTGGATCATTTGGGGTTAGAAGATCCACACTAAATCTGGGCCGTACCTTCCGTTGACAGACTACAGAAGGAAGCTTTTGCTTTTTGCCTGTTTGCTCTCAGTCTCACTGGCAAGTTCATCTATCCTGTTCTAGAGCCATTCTTTCATTGGTGCTAGAACCTACTTCTTTGGGATACCAGTGCAAACTAAAGACTGGAATTTAGGAAATCTAGGATTTCCCTGGGACCCCAGAACCAGATTGGGACTGCTGAGACATCCAGTCTCATGGACTGAACAACTACCAGATCCTTGGCCTTTCTTTTCAGAGACAAGCCATTGCTGAGCTACTTAGACCAAAGTCTGTAAACCATTAAAAAGGGAACCTAATTCAGCAGGTACTCAGGACAGGCATGGGGCTTTAGTGGTTTTGTTGGATGTGATCTTTATGAGGTAGTAGAGGTCCTTGAAGATATAATTTAATAGGCATATATATAAGTTTAGTTTGTAAGGTGCTAAAGCATCTAAATAGGGATGACAGAAAAATAAAGCAGAGAATGGATTCTGTCCAGGACATTACAAAGCAGATGTGGTAAGACTTGTGTTGAACAAGAGTTGTCAGTGAAAAAAATAACAACAACAAAAATGTGGTGCCAGTAAACTTCTGGGGAAGTTTAAAGCCCAAGCAAAAATTTTACAGAATGCATCAATAACTTAAAAAAAAAGTGGAAGTAAAAAAAAGATTAAGTTTGTTCCAGAGGTGAACAGCTATTTCTCCAGAGTATGTGGTGTCCATTTCTTCCCTGTAAGAAAATAAACTGCAGGTAGAGTTCATGCAGGCCAGGATTCTTCCAACAGTCTAGTAATGGAAAGGTAAGTGCCACAGTGCTGGCCCAGAGCCTGCTGGACTCAGAGGCAGCTCCAACAATTAGCATAGCAAGCAAAACTGTAGCCCTGCTTCCCGTTGGGCATGAGCCAAGCTTACCAGCACAAATCAGCCTCAAGGTGTACATCAGCACCCAGGATGCTCATGGAAATGACTGTAGGCTATGGAGGACTAGCCATCCATGCAACTGTTGTATCCAACATTGCTCTTTGAGCAAACAATCGACACAAGTGATGAGATCTTTACATACTATATTGAACCTTACTAACATTTCATTTTTAGCATCTCCTTAGCCACCAAAGACCATCTGGCACTTGCTTGCAGCAGACAACAATGGGCTTTTAGTGATCCTACCAACCCTCTATAAAAAATTTTCATTAGTGCTGGGAGATGCCTCATGGAGAAAATGCTTGCTCTGCAAGTGTGAAAATTGGAATATAGATTCCCAGAACCCACATAGAAGCTGGGTATGTGTGGCAGGCAGAAACAAGATCCTCTAAGAAAGCTGGCTAGCTAGACTAGCTGACTGGCACAATCTGAGTCCAAATGAGAGACCCTGCCTCAATTAACAGAAGTAAAGAGCAACAGGGAAAGACCAGATATCATACCTTTGGGCCTCCACATGCATCATGTGCACAGTCACTCACCACAGATGTAAGCCCACACCACATATAGAAACATACATACACACAGCATGCACACAAATATATGCAAAAGAAAAGCTTTTGTTATATAATACTAGGTGTTGAGAGCCTTACAGATTTCAAAAAGCATCTGGAAAGGCAATAACAATAGCAATCAGGGAATCAGAATAAAAGCGTGCATGGACGGGAAAGGGCACTCAGGAGACATGAAGGTTGTTGGGTAAAAATCCTAGTATAAGGGGTTGGCTGCCTCCCATGAGTTACTGGCTAAGGAGGCCCCTAAGACCTCTAAAACAATACAGGCTACTGCTACTGCTGTCGGAGGCAAGCCAGAACTATGAACTATAGAGGGAGGACTCTACTGCTTAAAACACCACACACTTCAGTTGGAGGACATGGAAATATCAGGGTGGGGGTTGACCTGGGAGTCCCAGCTTTGCTGGCTGGCTTTTCACATGTGGAAAAGCAATATGTGGCAGGTGAGGGTGGGGAGATGACTGTTGCTAACAGTCCTGCTCTGTATGGACCTGCAAGCTCCACTACCCACATGCACTAGGGTAGTCAATTACTTCCTCAATGGTTAGGATACTACTGGAACATTATTAAAGGCTTCAAAGCATCTCTCTTCCTACTTCCTCCCCATTCCTCCTTCCCTTCCTCCTACTCCCTTTCCCTAGGCCTCTTTTGATCTGTTCTCTTCCCAAGACATGCCATAGGTACTAGAATTTCTCTTCTCTAAGACAGGTCATAGGAATCTGAATCTCCCTTGGCCTTGGTACTGCTGGCCAGTAAAGAGATTCTTTATCCAATCTGATACACTATCAATACCCTCCCCCCATTCCAGATCATATTCTAAGAATGCTGCACAGAGGCCAAGACTGACTAGACCATCACTGCTGGGTTTCCCCACTCAGCCTATTAGCAATCATCCTTTTTTTTAAAAAAGATTTTTTAATTTTATATGTGTGAGTGTTTTTGCTTGCATGCATGTCTGTGTGCCACATGCATGCCTGGTGCCCTCAAGTTAGAAGAAATAGTTAGATTCCCTGGAAATCGGAGTTATGGATGGCTTTGATCACCGCAGGGATGCTAGGAAATTGAACCTGGATCCTCTGCAAGAATAAGCGCTCTTAACCACAAAGCCATCTCTCCAACTCAGCAATCATCCTTATATAGTGAAGTAGGCATAAAAATTCCAAAGGGCAAATTTTAGTTTCTGGAGAGATAACACATAGGAGTTCCTGGGCAGAAAGCTGAAGGAGGCATGAAACTCTGAGTTCCTTCTCTCCCATACCTTGTCCCATATGTCTCTTCATCAGAATCCTTTATAATAAACCAATAAATAAGCATCTTGATTTAAACAACCACCTTCTCAGAGGCAAATGAACAAGTTGCAGCTCAGCTGGCCCAGGAAGGAGGCAATTCTGGAGGCTGAGCTCTGGACATGTGGTACTGTCAGAACAGAATTAAATTTAAGAGGACATCCAACTGGTATCTGCTGCTGCTGCAGAACTGCTTCCTTGTTTAGTGTTCGAGGGAAACCCCACATATACATTTAGTATAGGAAGCAATATGTCTTATTGGTGTATATAGAAGAAACTGAGTCTAAGGCTTATTTTCTCCTTAAAAATGAACAGAAAATTAAGGGGAGGTATTTGCTTTACAAGACCCCCAAATGTCAACCCAGAGTATGGTTCTTGTGCTTAAAAGTTCACCCTAAGAAAGGCTTGGTGCTACACTGGGTTCCTGAACACCTAGTGTAATCTCCAGATGGCAAGTTAATATAATAAAGACTTTCTATTGGCTTAAATCGATGTCTGAGCAGTCTTCTCTGGTGGCTAACCCACAACAATAGTGCCAATACCTTAAACGCAGTAACATTAATCATACTCTAATTTTTAGTTTATACATTGAGCTTCCTTCTCTGTATTGAGTTTTCTGATTATAGACTGCTGTGATTACTCTGCAAATAAAAGGGCAAACAACAGAGGGCCCTACCTAAGAAAACACTAAATTATAAAACTGTCAACCAGAGACAGGTAATTTAGTCTTTATTTTCCATGGTGTTTTCCAAATATAATTAAAAAACAACCCTAAAATCATTCTATTAGTGCAGGCAGGGTTTGAAAGGCAGCAATAAAGTAAGGGACAAGGTTTCACATTTGAGATTTCTCAGAAATCTGATCCAATTATGAACATATTCCTTAAAAAAAAAAAAACATTAAAACTAGATGATAGGCAGTGGTGATGCACACCTTTAATCCCCGAACTCGGAGGTGGAGGCAGGTAGATCTCAGTGAGTTCCAGGATAGCTAGGATTGTTACACAGAGGAACCCTGTCTTAAAAAAAACAAAACCAACCAACACCAAAAACACACTAAACTAAAAATAGAATAATAAGGCCTTGCCCAGTGGCAAGAGCTTGGTGCTGAGACAAGAGAATGGCAGTTTGATGCTTTCCTGGGAAATGTGAGAAGACCCTATCTCAAAACAACAAAATATCCCTATGATCCAGCTATCCTATCACTGAGTACATACCCAAAGAAAATATAGCCATTGTATCAAAGAGATACTGTGCATCTATTGCAGCACTGTTCACAGTATTAAAGTAGAGAATCAAGGTAGGAGCCCAACGATGGATTAAAAACAAATGGGAAAATAAATTGTGGTATGCATATATCATTTAGTCATGAAAAAGAGTGGGGTCTAATCTGCAGCACTGTGGGAAAAATTATACTAAGCAAAATCTACCAAGCAGAGAAAGCCAAGGCACCTTCTTGCTCCGATGTGGAAGCTAAAAAAGTTGGTTTTATGGGAAAATAGAGTAGAACAAGAGGTTGGGAAAGTAGGAGAACAAGAAGTTAGGAAAGAGAGAAGACGGAGTGGGAGAAAGGTTCAATAATAGTAATCAAATGCCTATAGGTAGGAGGAGCAAATGTTGACGTCCTGCAGCACAGTAGGTCGGCCACTGTTCACAAGTTATAACCTATAAAGAACTAGGGGGGAAAGGAATTTACAGGTTCCAAACCCGCAAAGAATAAATGCTAAACTAGAAACGCTAATTTACACTGATTTGACCATTTTACTCAGTACGGGCGTGCTGAATTATCATCACACTGTACCTCATAAAAAATTCAGCTGGGAGTGATGACGCACTCCTGTAATACCTGCACTAGGGAGATTAAGGTTGAGGATTGAGGCAAATCCGAAGCCAGCCTGGACTACATGGCAAATACTATGTATATACAAGACCGTCACAAACAAGCAAGGACGTGAGAGATGTACAGTGATGCAAAAAGCCGATTACTAACGGGTCAGCCTGAATTCACGTCGGCTGTTTTGTGGAATTGACTAACACAGAATTAAACAGTTGAATTCTGAAACAGCACATTTCCAAAGCATAATCACAAGAGAAAACATGGGCCGGAAGCAGTGGGAGAGAGGGCAGGGGCGATGAGAGCTTCCAGGCTTCGTCCTATCAAATTTCTAACCCATGGGTTATCAAAAACTGTCTAGCAAAGGTGCAGTACGCCCCCGACCAAAACACAAAATACTAAAGAGTAGGAAAAACACCCAAGTCCAGTGAAAAAGGAGCTCTTCTACCTAAGCGGAGGAGCAGTCCCAGTACAGACCAAGCGCTCGCTGCACAGGCTCGCGTTCGCCCAGACGCCCAGCCTGGCAGGGAGCGCGACCTGGCCGCGTCGCTTCACCATGGCGAGGGGCTCGGCGTACGCACTTGCCCGGCCTCGGCGCCCCGCCCGGCCTCACCGCCCTGCCGGGCCCCGCCCCGAGGCGGCCAAGATACCTCAGACAATCTCAGAGCTTACCATCCTAAGCTTCTCCTCAGCCATCTTGGCTCCGCCCACCGCTGCGCGACCGGAAGCCAACCGTTTCCCGGACGCTCAGCAGATCCGGAAGTTGTAGGCCGAGGAATGGAGGAGGAGGAACCTGAGCCAGGAAGGAAGTAGGGTGCTGAGTGGAAGGTAGGTCCGGTGAGTTGGTAAACTCCTGCAGTCTCCACAGAGTGGAGGCTGCCACAAATGGCATAACTCGTAAGGAAAAGGTGAGGGAACGCGCAGCCCTAGGTCAGACATGATCGCTGCACCGGTCTGGACGACTTTAGAGTGTAGCATGTCAGTCAGATATTAGATAACGAAGAAACAGTTCACTCTATTCCTAAACATACAAAAATAAAACTGCCAGGAAGAGAAATAATGCAAGAGATTTGATGTACCTCTTAATGTTGACAACAAAATTTTTCACTGACATATTTGTGAGGAAAACATGCTTTCTTCACACCAGTGGAAATGAATTGGCCAAACTTTCAATAAGAGCAGCTTAGCAACAACTACCAAAGTTAAAAATACACATAACCTTTAACCCAATTGTTTCAATTATAGGAATTTATTCTATATGTATAGACATGAGACATGGCTTTACATACAAAGATATCCAATGCATCATTGTTTGGAATAAACCAAAGCCTGAAAAACAACCCAAATTCCCAACAATAGAAAGTAAATAAAGTTCATATTATGTGGCATATGAAAAGAGGCAATTGTTTACATGATAAGAATTGCCAAGGCACACTAACAGATAATGACAACATGCAAAAGTGCATATAGTACTTATGTTAATAAAGAAAAAGCAAAATAAAGACTTGTATACACAGTTCTTTATTAGAAAATATTTCTGGAAGGATATTCAGATATTAAAAATGGCTACCTCAAAGGAGAACTGGGTAGCAGGGATGCAAAGAACAGAGGTAGACTTTTTACAACTTTAATTTTACACTATATGGACAGAATATCCATGCCAGTAATAAAGATAAAATAATGAAATGTACCACATTCAGGTTGTGATAACGGCTAAGAAGGAGAAATGTAGAACAGTAGGAGAAAATAATCAGGGGTTTCAACCTAAACTAGCAAGGCAAGCTTTTTCTAGGTTAGAGATTTTAAATTACATATGAAGAATAAAGCATTATTAGCTAGAGGAAACAGGTTTCAGAAATGTGCAGCCCAGGGAAGAATTCTAAGGCAGAGGAAGAAATTGTGTCAACACCCTGAGGATGGAAAAAGCTTGGCTAGTTTGCAGCACAAAAGAGGACAGTATTGCTGGAAAAGAAAACACTGAGAAAGTGTTGGTTCCTATGGTTGAGGAGGTTATACGGTCCAATGGTGTAGACCCAGCAAGGCCATATGAAGGGATCTGTTAGAAAGGGTAGTGGGAAGGCACTACAGAGTTTTGAGCAAGGAAGGCCTTGATCAGAATGAACAGTTAAAGAGTTCTTGTTAACTTCTCAGTGGAGAATGAAATAAGAATGCCAAGAATTAGCAGGGTGCAGGAGCAAGCATTTAATCCCAGCACTTTGGGAGGTGGAGGCAAGTGGATCTTTGTTTGAGGCCAGCCTAGTCTACAAGACAAAGTTCCAGAATAGCCAAGGCTAAATAGTGAGACCCTATTTTAAAAATTTTCAAGAATTGATAATAAGAGAGATTAGTTTGCCTGGACAAAAGAGATGGCACACACACACGACACAAAAAGCAGGTGGATGGTGGCACACAGCTGTAACCATGGCACTTGAGAGGCTGCAGAAAGACCAGAAATTCATGAACAGCTTTAATAACATAGCGAGTTCCAGGTCAGCCTGTCTGGCTACATGAAACACTGTCTCAAAAAAATAAGTAAATAAATAAAAAGGAGGCCTGGCAATCCTAGCACTCAGGAAGACGATAAACAGGAGGATTTTCATGAATTTGAGGTTACTGTGGACTGTATGTGAGTTCCAGGATAGGCTCAGCTATATGGTAAGATTTTGTCTCCAAAACAAATAGGCCGGTCACAGTAGCAAATGCCAGTAATCCCAGCATTTAGGAGGCAGAGCCCAAAGGATTACCCAAGATAAGGCCGTCTAGTCTATATAAGAAATGTAGGAAGTAGCTAGAGTAAACCTATGATCATAGAAATTAATCTTGATGAATGAGGGAAAGAGATTCATGTCAAAGAAATATTGCCAGGTTTTTAACCTCAAAAACAAATTAGGTGCAGCCATGGCTATACAAAGAAACCTTGTCTCCAAAAAACAAAAATAAAAGGCAAAAACAAATTAGGTGAATTGTTCAGCCAGATGCTAAGAAGCGCCTTAAGGATGATATTAGTAGAAAGTTAATGATCTTATTTCCCTCCTTGGATGGGGCCCTGTAAGGATAAATGATAATGTTTTTAACATGTAGAAGCCTTTATTATATGTTTTAAATTTACATTTATTTATCATGAGGAGGGGTGCATATACTATGTCACATATGTAGAGGTTAGAGAACAATTCAGGGAAGTCAGTTCTCTCCTTCCACTATCAGTCCTGAGGATGGAATTCAGATCATTGGACTTGGCAACAAGCATTGTTACCCACTGACCCATGTTACACAAACCTTTGACCCCAGGCCTTAGGAGAAAGGTATAACTTTTTTTATTGCAAGGGCTACCATTTTCATAAAAAGGGCATTAGTTTCTCAAACTGCATTCATCAAACTTAGTGTGTTTCAATTAGGTAATTAGAATGTCCTGAAAAAAAAAAATCCTAGAAATTTCTTAGAGCATGTTTTGTGTGTCACAGACACATCTTCATTTCCCTTAGCAAACTCTCAATAATGTGGCCCTGCTTATCAGACTGTTCAAATGATGTAGTTGATTTTTTTTTTATGGTGGCAGGAGAGGAATTAAGCATAACTTTCTGGGGCTGGAGAGATAGCTGAGCAGTTAGGAGCACTGACTATTCTACCAGATGACCCAGGTTCAATTCCCAGCACCCACATGGTAGCTACAACCTCTCTGTAACTCTAGTTCCAGAGGACCCAACACCCTCACCCAGGTTTTTAATTTTGTATGCATTTAAAGAGAAAGAAAAAAAGAAAATTAAAAAGCATAACTTCCATCTTTTCAGTGTAAGTTTAAAGAAGCTACAGCTCCATTTCTCCATTTTTAGTATTTTAATTTCTGGAATTTAAGATCCCCAGCCAACTTTGTTCTGATGCCACCTGCTGGGCAAATCTCCAGAATCTCAGGCCTCTTTAAAAGTATCCAGTCCTCCCAGGACTCACACTCCCAAGAATACATTCAACATTGTAGGAAAATGCCACTTAAAAAAAAAAAAAGTGTTCATATTTTTCAAAAATCCTTCATGAAATATTTATTAATGATAGCACAAACAGTAATCAGTGGAGAATGTGGGCAAAGCATAAATAGTGCTTTGCTTGTGAGAAAAAATAATAGACACATTCAAATGTCCATCACCAAGAAAGTTTAAATGAATCAAGACAAGATGCTACTATAAGATGTATTATGCTTGTAAGAATTCTTGAAGATGTTAAAGAAAAACGCAGGTTCAGATTATACAGGGGAAAGGTGAAGAAAATATGCGTGTGTTGCTCGAATTCTAGTCTTCATAATAAAAACTCGGGAGTCAGCGATCAGGGTGAAGCTGAAAGATCAGAAAAGCAAAGCAGCCAGCCACTAGCTCTTGCCTCTACCTCAGATCGAATAGGCAATCCTGTCTCCACGAGTCCTCAGACTGTCTGCCTACATTGCACAGCTCCTCAAACTGCACTAAGCTCCTATCTCCTCTAGCTTTATATTCTTCTCTGCCCAGCCATATCCCTTCCTGTAATCCCCTCCTCAGTGTTGGGATTAAAGGAATGTTACTACAATTGCTGGGATCATCTTTGTGTGAGCTCTGTTTCTTTTAAACTGGATCAATTTCATATAGCCCAGGTTGGCCTTGAACTAACAGAGATCCATTTGCCTTTGTCTCCCAAGTACTGGGATTAAAAGGTGTGTACCACCATTGCCTGGCCTTTATGGCTAACTAGTGTGACTACCTTTGCAATTTGATCTAAATGCAAATTTTATGTTAGATCATAAACAAAATGGCACCACAGGTATGCTTCCATTTGTAGATTTAAAAAAAAAAAAATCACTGGGCCTGGAGAGGTGGTTCATCAGTTAAGAGCACTTGTGGTTCTTACAGAAGATTGGAATTCAGTTCCAAGCACCCCCATCAGGCAACTCAACTACCTGTAACTCCAGTTACATGGTATCTGATCCCCTCCCCCACCTTCTGTCTTCTATGGTACACATAGAAACAGTCCTTCATGTACAAACACATAAAATAAAAAGAATATGCTGGGAAGTGGTGAAGAGCACTCATTTTTGTTTTGTTTTAGTTTTCATTTGTCAAGACAGGATTTTGTTGGTAGCCTTGGCTATCCTGGAACTCCATCTGTAGACCAGGCTCACCTTGAAATCATAGAAATCCACCTGGTTCTGCCTCCCAAGTGTTGGGATTAAAGCCATGTGCCTCTACTGCCTGGCCCAATGCATTTATTTTTGCAGAGGACCCAGGGTTGGTTCCCAGCACCCACATGGTGGCTCAAAACTGCCCATAATTCCTGTTCCAGGTGATCCTCTTCTGATCACCACAAGCACCAAGCACATAAGTGCAAGTAAAATACTCATAACACATAAAATATATAAATCTCAAAACAATTTTAGGCCTGGAGAGTTGGCTCAGTAGTTAAGAGCACTTGTTCTTGCAAAGGACACAGGTTCAATTCCCAGAACCCATATATAGGCTTACCACTTCCTTGGGCACCAGACATGCATGTAGTGTACCAACATACAGGCAAGCAAAGCACTCACGACACACAAAATAATTACAAAAACAAAACAAAACACTTTTAAGAAAGAAGTGGAGCTGGGTGGTGGTGGCAAACGCCTTTAATCCCAGCACTCAGGAGGCAGAGGCAGGCGGATCTCTGTGAGTTGGAGGCCAGCCTAGTCTATAAGTGAGTTCCAGGACAGCTAGGACTACACAGAGAAATCCTGTGGAGGGGGGGAGGAGCGGGGAAAGGGGGGAAAAGCTGGGTAGTGGTGGCAC